TTTTTTTTGGCTTTTTGATATTTGAATGAGTATTTTCTGCAAATTTCTTCTATAACCTAAAAAAAAATAAAGTAATAAAAAATAAAGAAATATTCCACACAACAGGGTTTTTAAAACACATTTTTGACTATTTGTAGCAAAGTGTTAAATAAACACGTCCATGTTTCTAATAATTTGTTATTAGTAGTTAACATTAATAGTGATTAATAAATTGTTTCTCCAATAAAGTAGAATAACTAAAGTCTGGCCCCCTTAAATAAAAACTCAATCAACATCAACAACAACAACAAGGTGTGAAACAACTCAGTAAAATACATTTATTGACAAAAAAATCGTCTTAATCCATCCATTTAACTTTACACACAAAAATATCAAAATACTTTACAGGGCTCTCAGTCTGAATATCGTCAAATTAGCTTCCATCAATTCTGTCCGACAAACAGTACAACCACCACTTCCTGTTTCGGTTTCAGTGCTCATTCCTTTTGTTTTACTTCCATTTTCAGGGAACGCTGCATCCCTAGTGATGCATAGCGGCTTACTTGGTGTTTAGCGAAGGGTTTGAGAGCCGTCACTGCATTTCATGCGATTGGGATCCCGACGGAGGAGGAGATAAACACACAACGACATTCATTACACGGACCGTCTCAGAGCTCAAAAGAACGAGTGTGGTTTTTTTTTTTGTTACACAAACAAAGTTTTTCAACTTAGAAATCCAACGGAATTGAATAATAAGTACTAAAGGACGCTTTACAAGCGGGCCTCAGGCGGCCCAGTGCAAGGGGGGGGGGGGGGGCGGCAAGGATGGAGATCTGACTCCGCCCACATCCAAGTCGGCCATTTTGATTCGGTCACCAATAGGAAGATCCCAGGCAAGAAAATCCTAATTGTTTCATGGCAATATAGACATTCATTTAAAAATAGTGAAATTAATCTTTCAAACACTGAATTAAACTCTATCCATAATATTTTGTTAAAATAGTGGATGTTAAATAGGTTTGTACTATAAGTCCAAACAAGTTTAACCAAAAAATATTTATTTCTCACAATTATGAAGGGTTAGGGTCAGGTTTAAGGTTTAGGTTTACGGTAAGGGTCAGCGTTAGAGTTAGGATCAGGGTTAGGGTTAGGATCAGGGTTAGGGTCAGGGTTAGGGTGAGGGTTAGGGTTAGGGTTAGGATCAGGGTTAGGGTTAGGGTCAGGGTTAGGGTTAGGTTTAGGGTCAGGGTTAGGTTTAGGACATTGTTTATCTTCTGATTTCGTATAGACAGTAAAGTTTTGTTTCCACCTCAGAAAAGCTGCTAGTCACATGACTTAACCAAAATGGCCGACTTGGACGTGGGAGGAGTCTGATATCCATCCTTGGCTTCCTACAGGCTGCTACAGCTTCTTCTTCTTCTTCTTCCTCGGAGCAACAACTAGGTATCACATGTGCGGGAGGTCGGGAACCAGGAGAGGGGGGTCCTAAGGGACCT